ACTACATATAAAAACTTTTAGCTTGGACTAAACCAGTTTTCAAATTTTCCATAGAAAAATATTAAATCTCTTTCTTTCATGCTGTCAGAAAGGTGGTCTATTAAGAAGTCAACATCTAAACCAGCTCATAAGTCCCTTACCTGTTCTTGTGTGAAGTGAACAAAGAATGTTTTTCCTTGTGAGTCAGAAATTATTCTTTCAGTTCTCACTAGGATTGGCAATGATTACTGTCCATATAGTCTTGTGCTAGTTTCCAGGAAAATTAAAGAAAACCAAACCCCAAACCAACTTACTTTATAGAGATAAAAAGATATTTTCTATTAATATAACATGAAAGCTTTGTGTCAGCTGCAGAGACTTTATTGTATCACTAAAGCTCCAAGAGTTAACACCGGTAAGAGCAATAATTAACTCTTATTGGGAAGCTAAATAGATTAATTTGGAAAAGGGAGCTCTTAGAAGCTGCTAGAAAGGGTAGAGGCCTCAGGATAATTGAGGCTATGACAGACAGTTCTTATGATGTAATGCTCAAATTTAGCTTCCACTTATGTCACATGACCCTGCTGAAGCTTTGGGGACATAAAATTCTTTGATAGATACCAACCTTTCTTTTCAGCCTGCAGTGGAATTCCTGCAAGAAATGCTGAATCAGAGCTTAATACATACTTTTATTTTAGGCTTTATCGACTGAAACAGTAGTAGTAGAGCTTTAGAATTAAAGCTTATCTCAGGTATTTCTAACAACATTTAAGCTTTATATCAGTACAGAACTAGCAAAATAAAAAATCTGCACCCAAAACCTAAAAATAGATTGTTAAACCTCATTTACAGTTTGACTGTAAGCCATCCCTCCCGTATTTTCATTCTCCTCAACTATCCCACTGCAGGCATGATAACATGAGAAGATTAAAGCAAATACTGTATCATTTGACACTAGTTGTTTCTGATCAAAACTTCAGTAAACTTCCCTTGCCTCGTGTCATTGCCCTGAGAGCATTTAACAGCCCCAACACCTGTGGCTTCCGTACACATAGCTTCCATGTAGCTATGGGCCCAGGAATCCCTCCTAAGCTTAGATCCAGACCTTCAGTCTCTGCTTGAGCTTTGTTGTAGGGGTTCCGGTGTCCAGCAGTGCCCTCAACACCTTAAACCATTTACAATTGCATGCAAAACATTGTTACGAATTTTGATGGGGGAAGGGGAACTTGGCTGATGCTTTGTTCCAACACAGAAAATCTAAGCTTTGCTCCCTGCTTTAACCGAACGGATGTTGTGTGCTATTTTGCACCACGTGCGTTCTTTTGAAAGAAACTGAAAACTGGACAAAGAATAAGTAAAAATGTTTAATGATAGCAGAATTCATTTCCGCTGAACTTTGGTATACTTTCTAAGTTAAAGGAGGCCTGATACAGCACTTCCACTTCAAGCATTCAAAAATTATATGAAGGACAAACCACTTTCTACCAGGAAGACTCTGAGAAGAAGACAAAATTACTTCCTCAAACCTAAGAAATTTTGAAGGGCTAAGAGTTTTGTTTACTATTTCTAGTCAGTTTGGAAATGTCATGTTGGAGGCTATCAAGCTAACTGCACACTTAAAAACAGAGATCAAAACATGGACCAGATAGACACCTAAATAAACTAAATTTCACATCAGATGAGCAAAACAGGCAAGTGCTAAAACTCGTCTTTCACCGTAGAGCTTACGGGGAAGAGTCTAGTCTCTTTGCAGTATCACTCCCTCAGAGCAGTCTTAATGTCAAGTCAATCTAAATTGGGGTCACTAAAGCTGAGGTGAAGGTGGAATCACACAAAGGCAGGGCTAGGGATGGCTTTGCTCTGCTTAAGCTGTTCCAGAAATGTAGTCTAACGTATGCCTCTAAGGGCTGCTGATCTAGAAGAGCAAAGAAATCTTCACTTGCCACTAGGGTTATCCAGTCAAATATATTTCTGTGCTTTTTCCTTTAAATATTTATTGCTACCGACTTAGATCACTGTTCTTTACAGATGTTCAAAGCACAGAAAGCTTATGCTTTTCTTGTAGAGACCAGTATAGCCACTTACAGAATACTTGCACAAGATTTTACCAGTGCTAATATGAGAGAAGTGGAAGAATAAACTAGGAAGTCCTGGCTCAAATTCAGGTCATAATTAATATCAGGCAACCAGCTATGAACTACTTAATTACTAAAGGAGCAAAACAGGTCTTTAATATTAAAGAGTTATTTAGCATTACTTTTATCTCTAGAAAACTTGATCCAAAGCCCCTGACAGAATTTTAGGGGCACTGTGTTGAATTAACATCTGAAGGATCTGTTCCTGTTGCACAAGCTTGCCTGGCTGTCCGAAAAAGTAATAATCTATGTTGGGTCAAGCAGATGAACAGTTGTCATTCCATATAAATGTTTTTTGTTACATTAATTACTATTGTACATGAATAATATTAATTAGTATAAATATGTAACTTGTGTAGGGCTCACAATGAAGCCATGTAATTAATCTTCAGTGATGGAAATGCTGTAGATGTGCACTTTCTGGACAATCTGGGGAATGTCCAGATCAGGCCAAAAAGAATAAGAAGTTTGGAAACTGACTACAATTAGAAAAAAAAAAAAAAAAAAAAAAAAAGGAACTGGGCTCTGGAAAAAAAAAAGATAATGCTAAACCCTGACAGAATTTTAGGGGCACTGTGTTGAATTAACATCTGAAGGATCTGTTCCTGTTGCACAAGCTTGCCTGGCTGTCCGAAAAAGTAATAATCTATGTTGGGTCAAGCAGATGAACAGTTGTCATTCCATATAAATGTTTTTTGTTACATTAATTACTATTGTACATGAATAATATTAATTAGTATAAATATGTAACTTGTGTAGGGCTCACAATGAAGCCATGTAATTAATCTTCAGTGATGGAAATGCTGTAGATGTGCACTTTCTGGACAATCTGGGGAATGTCCAGATCAGGCCAAAAAGAATAAGAAGTTTGGAAAGTGACTACAATTAGAAAAAAAAAAAAAAAAAAGAAAAAAGGAACTGGGCTCTGGAAACAAAAAAGATCATGCTAAACATGTGAGCTGATACTTAAGGAGCTTGCAGAATCTCCTTCCTTTGAAGTTCCTAAGAACCAGTTAAACAAAACTCTACATAGTGTATTTATAATTCACCACAGCCCTTGAGCAAAGCACATGCTTTTAGAAGTCTCTTCCGCTCCTTCATTTCTAGGATTACTGTGACTGTTAACACTATCTCAAAACATTTATTTTATCAAATTCTACAGAGATGGCAATGAAATGGTATAAAAGAGCAGTCTTTGAATAGTTTTTCTGACTGTAAAAGAAGGAATGGGATCTAAAAGTGTTTACTCACTGTGAATTATTAGAGTCACTGCTAACAAAAACATTCACAAGAAAATTCAAAATATGTAATACAGAAGAAATTCACGTTTTCTCAGAGGAAAGGTGAAAATTAAGGGTTAAAACCCCTGCCTTGCTTTCAGAAAACTTTGATTCCCATAACATATATATTATCTAAGGCCAGATTGCACAGCTTTTGTCAGCATTTGTAATGCATATCTATGAATACACCAGAAAAAACTTGTTGATTCAATTCCTTCCCCTCTTAGACTGGAGAGCCAGGAAAGTGGAAAGTCTCTACTTTCAGGTATTGCTGTTAGGCCAAGCAAGAGGAAAAACACTGTCCAAATGTCATATTCTCTTTCATAGAATTTCATACGCAGTCTGCCATGAAAACCGTCTTTCTGACCTCATGACAAGGTGAGCTACATTGATTTCGATGCTTGGAATGATCAACCAATCATTTTTTCTTTAGGCAGGTTCTTAACTTGTATTAATGCCACAAAGCAACCCTGGTTTTCAAGAAGCCACACCAGAAACAACCTACAGGTCCCATATTCTTCTAAAAGCACACAAGCCGAGAATGAATGAGACAAATGTGTCAGTCAACTGAACGTATACCTTGAATCTTTCTTGATTATACTTCTACACTGTTGAATGACACACGCAACGTTCCCCCTCTGCACATATTCTTCCTGTAACAAATCACTTCACTGCTCTCCACTTAATTTTTTTTGGAACTTTTAACCAAAACTGAATTGGTTACGAAATAAAATGTTTTAACTTTGAAATCTCAGCTGCTTTATTTAAAAGTTGGAGTCTCAATTAAATGGAAATTTAAGATTTTCTGGATTAATCTAAATCTGGGTCCATGTTCCTCAAATTGTAACTAAAAACACACAGGGTGCAAGGCTGTCTTCCTATTACTGTAACTGTAAATATAGTCATCCTGAAAGACTGGCCAATTGTTCTGAAAAGGTCTGATTCCACAGTTCAATGACTCGTAACAGGTCATAACAGATATTATTTGAACCTATAGTACCAAGAAACTTAATTAAAACTTTTCACTGCATTATTTATGATTTGTAACAACTAGCATCCCTTTTATTTTGTCATGCTTTTGAAGAACCACTGGTGTCTATGCAAGCCTGGTGGTCTCCAAAGAAAACAGCGGTGGGCCACACAAACTCAGCAGTTCAACTACCTGCTCTGCAAGGACTTTTAAATGTTGTTATCTGCCCCTTACTCCAAGAACCCAGCCGTTCCAGGGTGACCCGGTGCTTTTGCTTTCCATACTTTTCAGATTTTGCTGCAAGGCCTGATTCCCTCAGCTCTCTCCTTCGCTACAGCTGCTGAGGCCAAAACCATGAAGAGCCAAACTGCCAAGGAGCTGGCTGCAGTTCTTAACCAGCCTCTCGCTGCACATTTAGGCATCCAAACACTATCCTTCAGGCAGCAGCCCGTGCTTTCAACGCCGGGTCTAGCCGCCAGGTCTGCCCGCTCCCCGGGAGGTGACCCTCCTCATCGGCCCCGTCTCGCGCGCCAGGCCCTCAGCGGAAAAGGAAGGGCGGCCCTTCCGCTGGGCGCGAGGGCGGCGACTCGCGGTCGCCTGGTCCCGCCCGCGGGCTGAGGGGGAGGAGGAGGCGGCCCAGGCCCGGCCCCACGCCCCGCCTCTCCCCGCCCAGCCCGGCTGTGGCCTCCGCAAGCGGAGAAGGCCGAGACGATGCTGGAAACGCTGCGGGAGCGATTGTTGAGCGTCCAGCAGGACCTCAGCGCCGGGTAGGTAGTGCCCTTCCCCAGTCCGATAGGGCTGGAAGGGACCGGGGGAACAGGAGCGGGACCCGCGGCCGGGCGGGGAGGGGAAAGCAGGTGACTGAGGGCCGGGGGCGGGAGGAAGAGGAGGAGACTGTGGAGGTGGCACCCCCCGGCCGGGGACGTTCCCTCTCACGGCGGTCGCCCGCCGGTGGCGGTGTCCCGCTCGGTACCGCGACGGGCTGGAAACGCGGCCCCTGGGTCTAATCCACCCCCCTGTCTCCTCAGGTCTTCCCGCCGGGGTTGGGAGGCCTATGGCGGGCGGCTAGCGAGCCCCGGCAGCTGCGGTCGGGAGCCCCGGGGAGGAGGTGTTGGGGAGGCAGCTGCGGTCAGGGGAGAGAAAGAGAGGCTGCTGTTGTGAGAGAAGCGAGGGAGACGTGAATGGGGGTCAATTAACGCGCTTGAATTTTTTATGAAGTAACTGACCTTCCGGGTTTTATAGATTAACGGTCTCGCGTAAAGAGCATTGTTGTACTCTCTTTGCTGTATGAAAAGCTTTTCTTTCCTCGGAAGATGAGTTACTGTCACCCGGGGAAAAGAAGCGCAGGAGAAGTGGAAGGAGCAGCCCCTTGCTTACATTAAAAAGCAGAAAAATATTCTTCCTGCGTTGCCTCACAGGGCTTTTTTTGGGTAGGCCCTGTATCCGTGCTGTTCTTGGTAGAAGCAGGTGGCCCAAATGAGTGTTGCCAGAAAGGCAGTGAATGGCCAGAGAACAAGGTCATGTCTGTGCTGCAAAGCTGTTGGCTCGTAACGAGCCACAGGAGAGTATTATGTTGTAATCAATTACTTCTTAAAACTGCATGGTCTTTGGCAATGTTGAGGCTGCCTTATAATACCCCATGGTAAATATTTATATATAGTGATGGATGTGTATGTACTCCAGAAACTTAAATGGCTCATGTGCATCAGCATATGATGGTCCAGAGAAATTCATAGAAGAAGCTATCAATCAATCTGATAAATTGCTTATGTGTTATCTGTCTCAATAAACAGTAATTGAATATGAAAATGTCTTATTAAAATGCCTACAGACTAAAGCGTAGCTTTATTGCTGTCTGTCTCTGTCTTGCTGTTATTTTTAGAACTTCTCACAGGGTTGGATGCCTCAGTACAGTGTAAGCTTCTTTTGAAAAAGATGTCTTTCACATGATGAAAGGACAATAGAAAGGTCATAACATGCTGGATCTGAAGGTCATTTAACTCTGGATCTTCATGTGTTGCTGCACTGGAGTCTATATGTTTCCATCTAGTCTCTACTTTGCCTTCTTCCTTGTCTGGCAATGTTTGTTTCTGTTTTGAGAACAGTCTCTGATTTCATAATTTCTATCTTTGTTTTTTTAGCAGCTCCTCTAATGTGCCCTTCTTGGAGTGTCCCTTCTTTAATTTTTTTTTTTTTTTTTTTATCTGGAGTGTATTCTTTTTTGCCATTGGGAACCTGTATCTTGAAGCCATAGTAGCAGAGGCTGTGGACAGCATCAGGTTTTTTCCTGTAGTGTCCTCAGGGATTCAGGCCAGAACGTGACTTGCCCTGTTTTGACCCCTTTTTCTTCCTAGACAATGCAGCCAAAATGCCATAGTGTTTTGGATTACCCTGTTCCCTACCCGGCCAAAGTGATAATAGAAGTAATTTTATAATGTTATGACTTTAGCTCAACATGGTCAAAACCCAGATAAAATGTTTCAGTTGTCAAGAATGCTGGGCCATTTGTAGCCAACTTGTTCCACTTTGCAGGCATTTATGTGTAGTTAATGGTTCGATTTCTTGAAACATTGAGAGGGAGAAGCTTTTCCAGGACTTCTTTGGAAGGGATGTTTTCTCATTAGGAATAAGGGAATACTTATGTACAGCTGAAAAATATTAACTCCAGGGTTATGTTACGGGGTTACGGTTATATGGAGTTTGAAGTTGGCCAAACAAGTATCAGATATGCTGAGTAGTAGCACACTGTGGTGATGCAGCTCAAGATTCTGATAGTTGGCAGAAGAAAAGTTGGGCTTGTGCTAGTTTTGTGTTGGCAGACTTCAGGCAAGTGGGAAATGCCTCTGTGTGATTGTCATGCTTGTCCTTGCCACGTATCACGGAATCACGCCTTTTTGATTATTTCTAATACCTGTCTGCTAAGAAGACAGTATTGAGAGCTATATGACTTGGATATATAGCTAAACTTTTCATACCCAATTGCTTGATGCACTTGCAGAAAAAAATCTCATAATTTAAATGCAGCGTAGGTGGAAATAATTTCATATGACAGTCTCCACAAAACTAGGTGAAATTTGATTTATTTGTGAAATAATCTGGAACAAAATGAAGTATAATAGATTGGAATTAACACACTGTATTCAAACAAGCTGTTCTCTGGTTTTGGTGTTGGAAATGTCTGATGGTTTTGTGTTTTGATTTGTAGGTTGAAGACTTTGAGCGACAAATCAAGAGAAGCAAAAAAGAGCAGGCAGAGGTACTTCATAACATCTTAATGTATGGCATTGGTCTAAAATGTTCTTGTTAAAGAAAAAATTGAAAGTCACTCATAGGAGCCAGTTACAAAAACATCTGCATATAAGTTTGCAGAGTATTCTTTTGATAACAGAAAAGCTTTACCCTAATATTGAGGAAATACTTTGCTTAGTAGAACCTTGATTGATAAGCCTATGTAATTTCTGGTGGCCATCAGTCAATTTGTAAATGACTACTCAAATTATGTAAATATTCAATGTTATTGTAGTGCTTTACAAAAGAATCAGGTTGCAGTACGCTGAAATGTAATTATTTACATTCTCTGTGAATTTCATGTACTAAAATTGTAATTCAGTTTTTTTTAGTGCTAGAACAGAAATAGGAGCTTTTATATTGTGGCGAATATATGTATAATGAAGTACTTAAATTATCTGTTTTCATCTCGGTTGCAAGAAGATTGGAGAATTGTGGTGGGTTTTTTGTCCTCTGCATTTTAGTATATTGTTCATTCTTTCAACCTGTGTAAACCATAGGGAAAGACTACTTAATGTCTGTAAATGATGTCTCTGAATGTTGCTTCTTCAGATAAGCCCAGATTTGCGTTAGTGTAAAGCATGTTCTTACTAGAACACGGTGTGTAGACAGAAATTAGTTTTAAAACAAGACCTGAACAAAAAATATTGGCATCTGAAATAAGCTGTATTAAGTTTTGAATGTAAAAGTTTTTTAACAGGAGACTGGTTGTATTGACACAGAAACTAATTTATGAATGGGTGAAGGTTTGAATAAAACTGTTCTAGGCAACTGCCACCTTTGTATATTTCCAGTCCATAGTATTTTGGTTATCTGTAAGTATCCATCACTTTTTCAGAAAAGCTCTGGACAAACCAAATGGATCATAGAGACATAGTTAGTAATATGGGTTTTTTTTTGTGTCATTGGGTTTCTGTTTGGGTTTTTTTGTTGTTTTTTTTTATATCAGAGTTGGGTTGATGGTTGGACTAGATAATCTTAAAGGTCTCTTCCAACCTAGACAATTCTACGATTCTATGATTCTGTCAGAAACAGGGAAATACCAGAGTGACTTCTGTTTTGCTGATAAAGTTCTGGGACAAATATAGCTTAGCTTGATTGTAAGGATGTCTGAGAGCTTGTGGGTCAGAACCAGAAGGGAGGCCAGTAAGGGTGATGTTGCCCTGGGAGTTTGTTATTGACCATCTGATCAGGGAGTGAATGACATCTTCTCTAAATGACTTGAGGAATTATCTGTATCATTAAAACCCCATTCATGTGGGGGCCTTTAACTTCCTTGACATCTGCTGAAAGGACGATGCAGCAGGAAACAATCAAGAAGAGTTCTGAAGGGTGTCAGGGATAAGTTTTTGGTACCCTTGTCATGACTACTTTGGCATGCAGGAGTAGCCTAAGGAAAGCTAGCCCTGCATTCATAATAAAAAGCTGAACAAAGAAAATGTGGTACTGCTGATAAATGGGGCGGATGATTGAGTGACAGCAAATGTAGATATTATTGAGGTACTCAATGCTTTTGTTGCTTCAGCCTTCACAAACAAGGTCTCCCAGTCCTCTGTGCTTAGTAGTGAAGCGAAGAGACTGATCAGTAGTGGATCAAGATCAATTTGGGGAACTTAACCCATAAAGGCCCATAGGATCATATGGGCCAAGAGGTAGCTCATGAAATTCAAGAGGTACAAATCCAAAGTCTTTCCCTGGGAAGAAGGTATCCCCTGCAACAGTACAGACTGGGGCTGACTGACTAGCCGGGAGGCAGCTTTGCTGTAAAGATCCTGAGGGTCTTGGGAGACAGCAAGCGGAATGTCAGCCAGCAACATGCCTGGAGGCAAGGAAAGTCAACAGCTTCCTGGGCTGTATGAACAGGACCACAGGCAGTGGGATTGAGAGAGGTGATTATATCCTCTGCGCACAACACTCCTTAGGCCACATCTAGCTACTGTTTTGGGCCCCTGATGTAAGAAAGAAATTGATGGCCTAGAGCAAGTTTACTGGAGGGCCACCAAGATGATTGGGGTTGGAACTCTCTGTGTATGAGGAAAGGCTGAGACTGGAGAATAGATGACTTTGGGGAGACATAACAGCAGCCCATCATTACCGATCAAGGACGTGGAACCAGACTCTCGACAGTGGTACATGGTGGGAACATGAAGAGCGATAGGCATAAGTTGAAACAAGAGATGTTTAGGCAGGAAAAGGCTATAAGGAAAAGCTTTTTCCTCATGAGGACAACCAAGTAGTGAAAAAGGTTGCTCACAGAGCCTGTGAAGTTTGTGTTCTCTGAGGTTTTTAAGTTGCAATTGAACAGACCCCTGAGCAAGCTGGTCTGATCCCGTAGCTGGTCCTGCTTTGAAAAGTAGGTTGTGCCAGAGGCAACCTGAGGTCCCTTCCCACCTCATTGGTTCTATTGCTTTTCCCTTGGTTTAAGAAAGAAAAAAAAAAAAAAAAGGTTTCATTTATGGTATTTGGTTTTTTCCATTCAAATTGTTTGAATGACAGTTCAGAACAGTCTGGTCTGGTAATCTTCCAAGAGGTGCATCTTGGATGATATCAAGATCTTCACATAATACATTATTAAAAGTGCTGCGTTGTTAATTTTCCTTAACTTATGATAAGTTGCCTTTATATTTTAAGCTGTTATTAATGAGAATATATGCATTTAATAGGAGATCATTAGAACATTAAACTGGCAGAGGTTCTTTAGCTTAGTATTTATTTTTAATGTAGAATACATTAAGTAAATCTTGATTGAGAGACATAAAGAACTTGTGTAGTACTCTTATTTCCATCCCCTGTTTTAAGTTAGAAGAATATTTATCCTGCGAGTTTGTTAACTGTACTAATAAATAATCTCATAAAAGTTGTTTTTAATGGACATAGTCAAAAAGAGGTAAAAACCATTAAAAATCCCAAGGGAAACCCCCTAATGCTAGCTTTGGAATATTCTTGTAAGGTACACTGTTTAATGCATTTTGAACCATAATTGACAAAATGTTTGTGAAAGTGAACAGTAGGAGATGTTTCTGTGCTCACCTTACCTGTCAAATGCAGATGTGCGTGCACACATATTTTATTACAGCTGCGTTCTATTCATTAACAACATTTGCATATTTACTATTTGTTTTACAGAACTGTTCAGTGTTTGCCAGAGTTTTCTGGTGGACTGGAATTACTAAGCAGGTATGACCTTCCATTTCTTTGTTAGTGTCTGCTTCCTGTAACTTCAGAAATAATTTTATTAGGTTAAGAAAATTAGAAGAAAATGAAGGTGTTACTAATATTTTTTTGAGTGTTCTGTAGAAAGTGTGTGTGTGGGTGTTTACCAAATTTTAAATATGTTTATAGCTTGCCCAAAATGTTAAGTGCTGTCAGGTTAATGAAACAGAAGTTCTGGAGGAAAAACAACATTTGAAAGATGATTTTAGTTTGGGGTCTAATGCACAGGGTTGAAGGACACCAGCACTGAGGCCCAGCCTGTGGTTTTAGTTTGTTTTATAGCTTTTACATATTTGATATGGTTTCATTCTGTTATAATTGAAACAGTATGGCTTTCATTGTCATGAAAAGAAAGTGCATCCCATGCGTATTTAATTGCATGTTTTCTGAGTAACAGATGCTATTTGCATTATAAATCTCCTCTGTATTTTTATCTTTAAAGAAAAAAATAATCTATTCTCTTTTTTGGGGGGAGTGGACTTGTGATTACAATCTCGTTAATTTTTTTCATTTTCTTAGTGAAACTGGGTTCCAAGTAGTCTTTAAGGCTTGGATGTGTAGTCTTGTAAATACTGCTGGGTTCATTTAGCTCTTAATGTAAGCTAGCTGTTTAAAAAACATGAATCACTTTTTCTTTGAAATAAATTATTTTTTACTTTATATTTCTTTCTGGTGTTTACTGTTCTACCAAGACAATCATGCAGCTTTTGAAACTGTTATTTCTGGTAGTCCCTGTAAATATAAGCACATTGGCATCCTCTTCCTTTTTAAAGAGGACACACTAAAAATAGACTTTCTTCTCTTTAGATATGAAGATGCTTGGGCTGCCCTTCACAAAGGAGCCAAAGATTGTGCAAAAGCTGGAGAGGTGAGAAGAAATAGCAATGTGACAATTGAAATATTTTAAAATGTCTAAATAATTTTAAGCTAAAGTTTTTAGTACCAGTGTATTGGATTGACCCTGGCCACTAGGTAAGCACCCACACAGCCTTGTTCGCTCTGCCACCAGTGGGACATAGGAGAGAACAGGAAGAGCAAAAATGAGAAAACTCATGGTTTGAGATCAATACAGTTTAATAATTGAAGGACAGAAGAAAAATGAGTGTTGCAAAAGCAGTCACTTGCAACCTCCCACAAACTGGCCAATGCCTAGCTCAATGCCAGTCTCAGAACAATGGATACCTTATAAGACCAAACCCAAAGTTTTTATTGTTGCCCGTGATAGTAGATGGTATGAAATATCCGTTTGGCCAATGGTCAACTGTTCTGACTGTGTCCCCACCCATCTTCTTGCCCAACACTAGCCTACTCATTGTGGGAGGAGTGGGGAAGAGAGAAATCCTTAACGCTGTACAAGTACATTGTTCAGCAATATCCAAAAATTTAGTGTGTTGTCAACACTGTTTTGGACAGAAATGCAAGGCACAGCACCATATAGGCTGCTGTGAAGATAATTAACTCCATCCCAGCTGGATCCAGTACAATAAGTATAATGAAAAAGTAATGCTCCGTATTGCTACTTGGGAAAAATGCCAAGTTGCATTGTTTCTCACTGTGATTTTAAGATGGTGTTTGACAGGAAGCTGATAGAATGGACCAGAATGTCCAGTTCCTCTTGTTTCTCACATCACTTTCAGATTTGATGGTACTCAGCCTACAATTAATATTCCTAAAGTATTAAATGTAGATATTGTAAAAATAGAAACTCTGTGATCACGTTTCCAACAAGATACCGGCTAACCAGAATTGTCTGAAGTTCATTCTCCTGTTTGCTTTCTGCTATTTCAATTACAATAAGAAAAATTGAGTGTAAGAATTGCCTAGTGCTTTCAAAGCACTCTTCAACTGATACATTGACACCCAGAATTTCTCACTTTTGGTCCTTTTTCAGATAGTTGCAATCACTTTGTGTGCTTAAGTAAAAAATATTAATTATATCAGCTTACTATTTTCTTGTGGGATGTGTTAGGTATAGAAGGATATTGAGAAGTATGACCTTGTCAGAACATGACAAGAACACGGTGGTAAAAATAACACATATCCAGAAGTTCAGGTGGTTAGCATCTGTACTCTTCTGCCATTATTTGAAAGATTATAAATTAGCTGGGAATATTGGGACTGCTTAAGATATCTCAGTGTTGACAGTAAATACCACTGTAAACAAGAAATAATAATGTAAACAGTAATGTAATGCAAATGATAAATAACATGATTTAATGCAAACAGTTGCCAAAATTATGTTCCATGCTACTGCTGTAGCTCTTTAAAAGCACTGGAGAGGGTTGGGAAAGTCTAGAACATACTTGGAGTTGGTGCAGGTTGGTGGGTTAGTGTCAGTGTAGGGCTGTTGCCTGACACTGTTTGCTGCCCTCTCCTACTGGACAGGAAACAGCAAGGTTTGACTTGTCTGGCTGAAAATATCAAGGAATTATCTGTGTTTTCTCCTAATTTTGTTTAGTTTTCCTGTCCTGGAAGTAAAGTGATAAGTTTTGTGGTTTATTTCTAGAATGAAAGAAGGAAAACTTCCAGTAAGTGCTATAAATGCATTACTCTGCTGTTTTGGAGGTTTGCACCAGACTTTCCATTTCAAACCCTGTTTAAGGGGCAGACAGTGTAAGCTGGGTGGCCATGATGCAGAGCAGGACTGGGCTATGGGGTTTTCTTTCCTGGCTGAAATCTTCACTTTGGCTGCATCCTCCCTGACTTTTCAAGTTTCCTAGGAGTCTTCTTTGTATCTTTTTCAAATGGATAAAATACTCACTGCTTAATGTATTTTGAAGAGGTGTATTTAGGGTAAGAAATACATTATTTTATGTTCTTTCTCTTGCATAATAGTATGGCCTGCTTTTTCCACTCATTCCAGTGAAAACCTTCAGGTTTTAGAGATGAAGTTCTCTCTGCCAGCTTTACGTGTTTTGTTGCTCATGATGATTTTTTTAGAAGATCTCTTAAATTGCTTGCCTACAATTTTGTAATACTTCCAGTAGTTTGCTTTAAAAATTGTAGTTCTGATAACAATGTGAGGTTTCATATATATATAAACCCAATGCAACCTTAATCTCACATACTATGACTGCTTTGGATAATTTGAATGAGAAACTTCCAAAAAGACTGTGAAGTTTTCCATGAAATTTGGATGTTTACTTTTGGGAGAATCCAAAATATGTATCACTTGTAAGTTTTTGTTTCTTTTTTATAAAAAGTAGAAAACACAAGGTTCAATAAAATAAGAATTGTGTAAGCACACAAGATTGACTGTGCTATATCAGACCTAAAGGTCCACTTTGTCCAGTGTCCTATTTCTGATAATGGCCAGTAGCAGATAAACTACTCATGCTGTCTTATTTTAAAATGTTGAATAAAGAAGGGAAAGTGAAAATTTTGAGCTTTAATTGAGCTCAAAAGCTCAATAAAATTGAGCTTAATAAGCTACGGTCTTACAGTGTTAAATCATAGGTGCTGGCTACCAGTTCCATCTACAAAATTGTCCTAAGAATATTGCTTTTAGATGATTGTAATTTTAGCTGCCTTCATTTATCTCTGGGCTGAATTGTTTTTCTGGTGTTTGCCTCCATCCCATGATGTTTGGTTTTTTCTGTGCGTGTGCTTTACTGTTTAATGGATATAAATTCCATATCTCATTCTCAAAATTAGACTTGGCTTTATTTAAATAACAATGTTGGTCTTCTGAAGTGAGCGTTTCATTACTCACTGGGCTTTGGAATAAGTTTTCAAACCTTGTCTGGTAAAACAGTATGGCTTTTTAACAGGGATAGGTAGCTGGAGGAATTTGGAAATGGGAGAAGTTGTCATTCTTCTAAAAGAATCTGCCTGAAGTGTGTAGAATTGTAAATGTTTAAGAACTTCCTTTGCCAGTTGCTCAGATTTTTTCAGTTTCTGTAACTAAATTCTACAAAACTGCGGAATTCAGAATGCAGATACAGCCATGGGCTGCTGCTCTGTGCAAGAAGAAGAATGGGTAATGGAACTAAGAGCAGGGAAACTATAATGGAATCATCTCAAGTTTAAGGGAAACATTTGTTACCTAACGTCTCTTGATCTTGCTGTTTTTCATAGAATCTGACCTATATAAATAAAACTTTTAAGCAATGTGTCCTCTTCTCATTATACTATTGTATAATAAAACCTAGAAAGAATCAGACAACAAAAATTGACTAATGTAGAAGTGTGTTCTTAAAGACTTGCCAAGTACTGCACTTTAACTTAACTCGAGCAAAAAAGCAGGACTATTATAAAGGCAACTGTTTTTTGAAATGTAATTAATTTTATTTCATTTTCTAGAGTATTTTGAATGTGCAGAGCTTTCAGTTTTGTTGTTAAGATTAAATCAGTATGACTAGCAACATTAAACTCTTATTGATCTACGTAAGCCTGACATTGCAGCACCCCAACTTTATTGTGTACCAGTGCAACACGGCTGTCAAAATTCCTGATGCATGTTATTTACAGTTAATAACCTCCATAAAATATTTCCTACATTGATTGGTATATTGAGAAATAACTTTTGTTTTGATCAATGCATTTCAATGTAAATATTTCATACTACAGGGGTTTTCTTGAGCATGTTTACTTGAGAAGTTCACAAGTGGCAGTGCTCTAGGCTTGCAATGCTGACCTTATTCTTGCAGATGCATTAATCCTAAAAAAAATGACTGAGATGCTCATAAATAGATACATAAATTTGCAAATAAAGTAAAGAACCTCTTTGTTTCAGCTTGTGGATAGTGAAGTTGTGATGCTTTCTGCACATTGGGAGAAGAAAAGGAACAGTCTGGTGGAACTACAGGATCAGCTTCAGCAAATACCTGTTTTTTTAGCAGATTTGGAATGCCTCACGGAAAGCCTAGGTAAGGGTTTATAGACGTAATAAGCATTCAAGTCAGTACAGAGGATTAGACTAAAGTTCAACTGTTGTGAGCTTTATAATTATAAAATTTAACTTTTCTTCCCAAACACATCCTTTCTATTGTAAAAGAGTCATTCTTAAACTAACTGGTTTTGTAAAAGAGCAAAATTAGTAGTGGTTGCTCTCCCAGTAGTTAAAATGTTGTATGGAACTTGATGATCTTTAGGGTCCCTTCCAATTCTAACCATCCTATGATTGTATGTGTCATTATTTGAAAAAAAAAAAAAGTGACAACTGCATATCTTGGTGTGAACAGCTGAAAACTTATTCTTGAAGTATTTTTAAATTTCTGAGTAGTGTGAACACTCGTGTGTAGTTGCTTCTCTTTGGTTGAGTCTATGTCATTTTATATAATAATTTGTTTTAAGTCGTCATTTGGGAGGAAGGTTGTGGGAATTTACCTGGCTTGGGACACTTTCAAGGCAGAAACGTTTTGTTGAGGGTAATTGTTGGTTCCAAAGCTGGCTTCCATAGTAAGCTATTCTGAAGTGATATCCAGCTTTTTCATAGATGAAACTAGCAATGCTACATATTAAGGTTACCAAATACTTCATGTTAGATGGCTTCCAATTTTTATAACTTTATCAAATTTTAACCTGTTGGTTTAATTTAAAAGATGAAAAGACGGATAGATGAATGCTTTAGTGGAAACCTCGCATGCAAAACAGTTGATCCACTGTTGAAAATGAAATTAAGAAAAAATGTTCTGGCCTCATAGTCTCTGAAAAGCTCTGGTGTTGCTCAGCCTTGAAATGGGGATGTAATGTTTGACGAGCAGCAAGCCTTTCTGTCAACAGCAGGCCTCTTGCTACCTCCATGAAAATCTATTCAAGTTACATCAAATTAAAGTTTTGAAAAACTGCTGTCTGTGCATGAATTTTAGTAGCGAAGTTCCTCAGGGACTCTGCCTGCACTATTCTTACACCAGCTGGGAAGCGTGCACAAATTCTTCATGTAATTGCAGCTCCTGTTTTTTGTGGGGTGGGCTGGATTTGTGTGCTGGCATCTGATGTGAAGAAAAGGAGGGTTCTTTTCTGTGTTCAAAGGCTAATTTCTCGTTCTTTTATGGTCAGTGGATATGCACAAATCGGCTTTTGTTCCTTGGTAGGCTGGTAATAACATTGCTATTTATTTCTGAACCAAGGAACTTATTTCATTTTTTATTAGAATTTTCTTATACCACCTTGTTTAGTAAGATTTTATCGTGTGTGGTAACCATTTAATGTTGGCTTTTCAAAAAGTTTGATTATTTTCTAAGGAAACGTCAATTCAAATAATGATTTGTTTAAGTGCTGATTTTAATATCATCATGCACAAAGTGATGCAGTCTGCTGGCAGACCAAAGATAAACAATCTAATAAAAAACTAATGGAATTGTCTTTATAGTTCATAACTGCAAATGCTATAAATCCTAATGAATTGGGGTTACCTTTCCATTCCTAATGTTATAGTTTTATGGACCAGAATTAATCTCAACCTGGTTGTAGAATTACTTGGAGAAGGCTCAGTGTCTGTAGAATGCAGGATTTAAAGAAGCATTATCCAGTCTGCTCGGGGAAGCTAATGAATTTTGGATAAGGTTGTGAGATGTGAACCTCATGCGTCAGATTTTATCATTTCCTCCGAACCACTGTGATGTTGAGGCTTTTGGAATTGTGTTTTTCTGATAAGTTTTGTAGAGTCTATTTGAAGAGAAAGATATAATATATACCAAATTCAATATCTACACTTCTGGAAGTGATTTACCAGAAATTTGCTGTGATATTCTGCTTACTGTTTCGAGTTTTTATAACTCTGAACTTTCTGCTTTTTATCAATGTAAACTGTATTCACTTTTCCAAGAGATGACTAATACTGTGGCAGTGAATTTTAAATACGAGTGAAACATTCTGTTAAAAAAATATGTGAATATAGAATTATAAACTGCTGTGTCCCGAGTTGTGCATCCAAAATGTAATTTGGCTAATGTTCATCATTTCAGAAAAGTAATATTTCTGTGTTGTGATACGACATGGTTCTAATAAATCTATTAATGCTTTCATTTTGGAAGTAGATAGGGGACCCTGGTGGCTTTTGATAAAAGGAATTTTAGATAATGGAAATGAGCCTTTTTAGTGACCTATTTAAAATTGGTATGAGTCATGTGCAGATTCTTCAGCTTTTCCTGTGTATTACAAGACATTTTCATTAGCACTTTTTATGAAGTCCTTTAACTTAGGTATTTGCATTATCAATCATCTCTCACTTCAAGTAAAAAGTCCGTGACTTCATTTGATAAATTTATTGTATTACTCAACGTCTTGTAGCTGCTGTTGAAAACTTTGAAGAAAAAATTACTCTTGTGTAAAAGTGAAAAGGACAGTTATTACCCTTTCAAGATCTAGAATCTGAATCATCGCTTAAGCCAATTTTTATTTGAGATGTTGTAGAAAATACCTGCTTGCTGATACCTGACATACTTGTCTTAATATGAAATATGCTTTATGTTTGAGCAGGGGCATTTTGCTTAAATATCTATTTTGATTTCAGCAAATCAATGCACACAAACCTTGATCCAAATCCAATTTTTCTATCTCTCTTTTTTTTTTTACCATCAAATGTTAAGCATCAGCTTGATATTGGTTTCAGAAAGGCAGGTCATGAACATAGGTGACAGATCCAATGTAGGGTGAAAGTATTTAGACTGGTGAGACTGGGAAGAAGGTAAGGCTGGGTATATATATTCACAGAATTAAAGCCATTGCTTCCTTATCTTTAATAAATATTTTTTTCCAAGTGTCTAAATTCATTAGGGAAACAGAAACTTTTTGCATTGCTTAGGAGAGGTATCCTTGTTTATATCTTGAGCAGAAGGGCATGCTTTTTTTTCAGAGTATGTATCAAGAATGAAAGTTGCCATTTTCTAGCTTTCCAAAATTCAATCCAATTTGTTCAAAGAACAAGAAGTGTTTTGCATAAAAGAAAAAAAAAAAAAAGAGGCCCTGTGCCCTTTGTTTCAGAAGTGGGATTAAAGTCTTCCTAATGGCCTTTTCAGACATTAAGGAAATGTAGTAAAACTTATGAAATTAAAGGTCACAGTGATTATAATTATCTTTTCATTGAATACAAGATTTTTATTTTGGTAACATTTGACCTACCTTAAGAACTTAATATCTCATATTTTGGGTATTTGTTTTGCAGCAAAAATATATGTTTTAATGAAGTACAGTTATTTTTTAATTTCTTGATAAAAATGCCAAAGATTTTTCTAATTTGAATAATGAAATATACTTCCAGAACCATCTTGTATTCTGAGATTATAGAATTTGATTTTTGTTCATTTCATCAGTTTGTAGACAACCTTGAAAGCAGAGAAGAAAAAGTGGAGTGACAGCACATAGACTTATCTCCTTAGGGAAGACATCTTTGGGGAAGATAACTATTAGTTTACTATTATCTATTTATTAATTGTGGCTATGACAGGATTTAGATACTAGTAGGTATTGGTCAAGTAAAAGGAATTACTTCCAGACAGTATCTTAATCAAGGTTTTTCACAGAGCTGGCATTTGAACTCAGACTTCTGAATTTTGTTTGGTTACTCAAATAAGTTTCTTTGTTGTTACCATCTGGCAGTTCGTAGCTCTTGAAAAAGAGCTGGATAAATGTTTTATAATGCAGAAATGTAGAACACATGTTCCAGTAGAAAACTCTAGGTTTTAGTGTTTCTTTTTTATTTTAAAATTATTTTAAAAGTGAAGAGAGCTGTAAAAACTTTTACTGTAAATCAGTAATGATTTGCAGTTAGGAAAATGTTTAAAGAAAATCATATTTTATTTATTATTAAACTGTTTTTCTGTTTGATTGTTTAAAAGACACTGATACTTTTCATGCTTTTTTGAGTTTCATTGTTTGAGATGAAACAGCATTTGCCTTTTCCTGAGAAAATCAGGAAAACCAGGAAATTTGAATAATACAGTATAGTGATACCTATGTTCAACAGGAAGTTTTTCTTTGGTAGGCTGCAGGGCAGGATGCTTCAGCGGAGAGGGTTGTTGTATAAGGTAGAGGTGTGAATGTGTATATCTATATAAGGCATATAGTTTGCTGTTGTAAACTTGAAAATGTCGGTGGCTTTGAATACAGAAGGAAAAATACCCTAGTATACTTGCTATGTAGTTTCAGCAAAGAAGCTATTTCAGCTTCTTATGAATGGTATGATACTAGCTGGATTTAAAGTCTTTTCTTTAAAAACAAATAAAAATTGAGAGCTAGTAAAACTGTAATTATGTTAAAGAATTTTTTTCAAGTTTTACTGAATCAAGCTGAATCAAGCTTTTCATGTATATAATGTCTTTCATTGCTTGTTTTAAGTTTAGTAATCTGTGTCCCTATTTGACCTAGAGGTAGAGAGAATTTCTTTCATGTAATTGTTTCCATCTGTTCTGTTTTCTGCCTTTTGGGCTTTCAGTCAGAAAATGAATGAACTTTGTAAAAACTTATTTCATACTCCTTGGTCACTCCTGTTGTTTTGGTGGCCAGCACAGTTCGTTAGTTCGCTCTAATATTTTCTGATATACAGCTGTCATATAGCTTTTCTAATACTTTTTTGTACTGCTGTAGAACTACAGGTTACATAGCTCTCATTTAAAAGTAATTTTATGTGGTAAATTTAAATTAGCTAAACTTTAGAAAGAAAGAGTTTTCAGGAACAATATTGGATTTTGTGATTCTTGAATTCTAGATAATTACTTCAGTACCTGAGTGGCTACAAAACAGTGTACATTGAAGGAAGATAATTCGGTCTGATATCATGTGGTCAGACATTAGCATACTTTAAAAAGATTAAAACTAGGACGTAAAGCTTTTAAAAGTGCTGTTACACCTGTGATAGTGCAAGAAATACAGGCCAAACTAATATAATTGTAATGATGTCACCTGAAGAACAAGTTATTTTTTTCAGCTATCTAATAAATATTATCTCTACCAAGTGTGGCATGTTACTATACAGGAAAATTCTTAATCTAAGGATACAATGGATTTTTTCCAACCTCCTTAAAAATAATAAAGGGAGGAGATATTTTTCTCCTTCATAACGATGCTATTTCAGAGTGAGATGGTGGTTGTTGCCTGACCACTTGATTGTGGGATTTCTTAAAGAGCTGAAAAAGAAGCAGTAATCTTGCAGGTATTCTTTAGAACATTAGCTGGCTTTCTGCCTGGGGCAGATTGATTCTAGGTGCCACTGTGAGCTATAAACTGGAAATGAATTAATAGATTTCATATTTTTCTAAATATCTTTTTTAAAGTATGAGCCTATTTGTCTGTGCATGTAGATAAGAGCTGTTCCAAGCGTTATGGCTTAAGTTTCAAAATTGTAAGTTTGGGGTTTTTTTTCATTTATCAAATAAATATGTAGCTTTGTTTTGAATTTGCTCTTTATTCATGCATTCTCATTTAGGTGTGAGAGATGTTAATTAACAACTGTAGCTGATGCTATGGAGCTAGTCTTTAGGGGTTTTTTGTGAAAAGCAACTAAGTTTTCTTTCACTTCAGAAAGAAAAAAAATAATAAATGAAACTTTGGTTGCAGTAAGGTGGGATTGTTGTCTTCTGGAGACATCTTAAGTGTTCGTTCCTGTTCTTCAGGAGCACTGTTTTCTGCAGTTTCCACTAGAGGCTGCTCAAATGCTAGTGCTAGGAATCAGTTGCCCTCTAGAATTCACATTTCTTCATTCTCTTTATTTTCATGTTCTTTGTTGTTGTCTTTTAATATTATTTCAATAGCAAGTACAACAAAGCAGGTGGTGAGGTTTTTAAGTGGAAAAAACAGTGGCTGTTGATAGGTACCTTAGTAAATTATCTTGAGCCCTGCTGTGTTTGTGAATTTTACAAATTAATAAGTGAGCAATCATTCTGAAAAGCAAGCTAGCATAATACAGGCGTTTGGATTTTAATGCACTCAGAAAGTCCATTTTTTTTAAGCAAAAAGAGACCACCAGTTGTAACAATAGTCATGATATTGGCCTTTGAATACATCTGGATTTTGTGAAAGAAAGTGGAGTATGTGGTAAACAATGCATGGTATATGTCACAGTCTGTAGAACTGAAAACTTTTTTTTCCTCAAACTTGTTTCCACATTAATTGTTAACTCTCTTCCCCACTCCCTCCCTTTTTTTTTCCCCCCAAGTGATCTCTATACAGATAAATAATTTAAGGAAATCCTTTCTGATTATGTGATTCATGTTTCCCTTTCTAATTGTTATGGAGCAGTACCTTACTTGTTAAGGACTAAAAAAATCTTATTAAATAATAGGAGCTTAATGTATGAATGTGGATGCTAGAAAATTGTTTATGAGGTCTTAACTTCTGATTTTCTAGGGAGACCACTAGGATAGCAATTTTTAATTGAGTAATGGCGAAGAAAGTTGAAATTTTGTGTGCTCCAAGTAGAATGGCCAAACCAGAACTGAAGATTTGACTGCTGCCTTCAACTTGCCATTTCCTTCTTTTGAGCGTCCAAAACACATTAACTTTAAATCATTTTTTTCTGCCTTGAACTTAATAGTTCTTGTCTTGCTTTATGAAGATTGTGTTTGTCTGTATAGGCAAAGGTGAAACGCAGCCATTTGCCAAAACTCAGAGTTGCTTTAGGTTTTCTGCTATTTCGTTCCATCATCTGTGTAGTTCTTTGCATCAGCAGTTAAGTTCGTACACTGCAACAGATTAGTGTATCTGTCTCTGAACTGCAAACTGTCTTCTATTCTTTGATTGCTAAGATGTGACATCCCTCCTCCTGCAATTTACCTTCCCTCTGGTATAGGAGGAGTCCTGGCAAAAAGGTGAATAGTAGCCCTGTATTCACACAGGTCCATCCCCGAGTGACTAGCTGGTTAGAGTTTGGGAAAACAGTTTTTCTACTTTGGCATCCTGAAGAGGGATGTGGAGTTCAGCACTAATCGCCTGCAGGGAGAGTGATTCAAATGATATAATTCAGGTCAGAAGTGACCTCAGGAGTTCTCTAGTCCAAGTTTCTACTCAAAACAGAGTGAGCTGTGAGATAAAATCAGGTTTCTCAGAGCGTTTCATAGACATGATCTCTTTTAAGTTAAGACTGAGCAATTATGGTTAAATAGGAGACTAAGAGGTTTTGCATGGTTTTAAGTGCATGGGTATATAAAAGAGCTAAATCTAGAGATTTGCCTGTCAGTAAACTTTCAAAGACTGTATTCTTTTATATTATCATGAGGTCATTTAAAAGTTAAAATTCTCTCAGTATGTTTTATTTTTGCTTCATATGAATAATTTAATACTAGTACTGGGTTTGGTCAGCACAGCTTTATTCCTCAGGCATATCAGGCAGGAAGGGCTAAACTGACAGTGCCCAAGAAGCAAAATTGCATTATGAGTTCTGGAAGCTTCTCTTCCTGAAGCATAGACCACAAGCCTGTGAAACCAAGATGCTGGGGCAGATATAGTGCTTCAGCATCTTACTGCAAAGGCACCTCAGATCTCCCTCTGTGATATGAACTAAGATTTATTTATCTTTTTGAGACATTAATATATATGTAATTATTACCATCTTAATTATGTACCTTTATGAATTCCTGTTTCAGTTCAGGTGAGTTGTACATCTATTGATACAATTTGATATTCATATAAGTATTTCTTTACAGCCCAGCTAGAGGCAAACTTCGAGGAAATGGAGAATCATCTATTGTGTCTTGAGGACCTGTGTGGACAGTGTGAGTTGGAAAGATACAAATGTATGCAGACATTACAGCTGGAAAACTACAAGAAAACAAAAAGGTAAATAAAACAATTGCTATAAATATAAGCATAAAATATAAGCCTTCTGCGATTATTTTTTCCCTATATATGATATAATCCCTTTTATTTTCATCTTTGAAAGAAACAGTAATCTTTGACAGCAAGTTGCAAATTTATTAATGTTATTAATGTTAATGTATTAATTGAATGTTGGTCTAACTTTTGGTGAGTGTGTCTCTTTGGAAAATTATCACTACATTATTGTTAAGATGAAGTCCTGCTTATTGTTGTCTCTAAACAAGTGGAGTAAGGACTAGTGTTAATAAGCACTGACAAATTGTTGTTTCTTTTCATCCCTTGCCCTGTTTTTGGAAATTTCTTTTCCCCCATGTACTCATAAAGTTAGGAACAGTATTTTCTTCTGTCTTCCTTTCAGTATGTGTGAGAAGTCAGAACCTCCAACTCTTGAGGTTTACGTCTACCTAAAAGATAAAGTAGTGAGACTGATAGTGTCAAAAGTAACCTTACTGCAGGAGATAAGAAAAGCTATATTAAGTCCATTATATAAATAGGGAGTCAAATTGAAGCAATTTGTCAAAGACAGTCTCTGACAGCCTGTGTTAGGGAGCGGTGGGTAGATGCAGATGCTGACAGACCTGGAGCCAGCACTGACATGGGGATAACCAGGTTACTTGATCTCTCCAACCAGGTGTCCTCCTTTTCAGCCATGGGAAGCACCCTGGCACCCTCCTCACTTCTCTTGATTGTGGAAGCAAGTTTGACTCAGAATGACTAGTTTGGTTTACAGTCCTAATTAGGATGTGGTGATCAGGAGTGCAGGACTGCACCAGACAGCACTGGTCACATTTTACATAGCTTACCCGTTTTCCTCTTTTTTTGACACTCCTTTTGCTATCTTTGTAGCTCTTTTTCTTTTTTTTTTCTTTTTTTTTTAATCCGAGTCTCCTCTCAAGTAAACAATTCACCCCTAATTACTTTTTCCCTATTGGTCCTGGTTTTTCTGCTCAAATTTGGTATTTCTGATACTATTACATAGGAAATCTTGGCCTTCTGTGGTGTTACAGATAGGGTTAGCGAAGTACTGCTGGCTTTGCCAGTTCTGCTTCCCAGAAGGTCCCTGATACCTTAAAGATCCCTCTTCAATTTTTTTGTGAAGTTTGGCTGTTTCTAACTTAACTGCCCTTCAACTATCTGTGAAATCCAGCCATCACTCATGGTACTATCTGTAGCTCTTGTCAGCTTCTTGCTATATTATGTGTCACATCCAGCAATTTTTCGTGTCATATCCTCCAGTTTTTCACATCCTGTGAATTTAGCTTAACCTCAGGCCGGGGCCTCGGCAGTGGTTTTGTCATTTTCCTGCAGCCTGGATTCTCTCTTTCCTAAGCCAGAGCAACAACATTTTCTCTTTCTCCAGGAAGAGTCACCAGTAATCAGTTTGGCTGATTATTCACTTGTTTGGACCTATTTAAGTAGTTAAATATTTAACAGTAATAATTTCAAAATTCTAAATATGTGCTCTTTAACCAAATAACACACAAATTAAAAATGTGCGTAAAGCAAGAAATTAACCCCTAAAATATGGTAATATTTCTGAAGTTTTGAGTTTTGCTTGTTCTCTTTGCCATCCTTTCTCTCCCTCCCGTAGCCTCTGCTTTCAATATCAAAACAAAGTGTTAAACTGTTGCCTACTCTGCTTAGCAGCATCTAATCAGTTCTATAAATAGAATTCTAAGCAAACTACTTAATGTAATTATAAGCTGATTACATTTGGTCAGATGTAGACAAAACAGCGAAAATGCATGTAATTTCTGGTTGATCATTACCACTGTATTTATTTAGGTAAGAAATGAACTGCTAGCTCATTACTAGAAGGACACTTGCCAATGTAGATACTTGAAGAGTGAACAGCCAGTTAACTTAATGTGAGTGTGATTTGTTATGTATGTTTGGAACTCATATCCTGTCTTTAGTGTTTGGGGTTTTTAGTGTGATACCAGCTCTGTAAAGAATTAAGTGGGGGTTCAAGAGTCTATGCTCTCTCTTTAACACAAAAATTATTTTCAGGGAGTGAGTGGGTTTGTGTAACAAAGAAAAAAAAAAGAAAAGATTTCCTGTATTTTGACAATATAGGGATGAAAACTGAGATGAACACAGACTCTAGAAATTGTGGTTATTTTAAGCATGTAACAAAGTAATTTTATTATGAAGTCACTGTAGAGCTTAGGCTAGAAGCTCACGTATTTCAAGTCTTTTGAAAAATCTTCCTATGTGAAAGATTTAGAAGAAAGTGCTTTAGGTCAATGTTAAACCTTTGAAATGCAGCTTATGGTAACTATGGGAACTGATTTTCAGAAATAGGTCTCCCTATTAAATAAAGCAACTTTATTTCAGTTCAAAGAGATTATTTTTTTTTCTCTTTTGTCATTGTGTTGAGTACTAGTTGAGTACTAGTTTCAAAGTAGATTCATCAGTCCAAGGTGTTTTCCACAATATATTTTAAAGCCTGATGTTTGGGGGGGATTGATTGTTTTTCTGTGTGCTTAACTCTAGATTTTTAATGTTGCTTTTGTTTGTTTAAAATCTATTCATCGGGGTGCCAGTACTGTTGTGTGAGGTCTAGATTCCACCCTTGTTTTCTCTAGTTAGTCTTGCTGCCATTGTTTGCATGTATGTTAGTATTAAACCATGCTGTTTTGTTTCCTGTCCTTTTCTCAGTCGAGCCCAATTCTTCTTCCCTTCATCCTTCTACTGAGGATGTACTGCTTCTGATTACAGAAAAATCACTGTGTCCTTTAGGAAGCACTGGCAGAAGCTTACTTTGGTGCCAATTTTTCTGTGCACCAAATTGCAGGCTTATGGCATAAGATAAAATGTTTCTGTCCTGAAGCTGTACTTCCTACGAAGCTTTTAGTACCATTTGTATCCATTACAGATGGATCACGGTTTTTTGAAACTGGAAACTCCTGGTTATTTTATCAATTAAAAGGAGCTGTCCAACTGCAACAATTTGTAGGAATACTTTGAAGATAGCAAAGAGTCCTTGTCACTGGAAATGAGTGAATACATTTTACTGTGTATCATTGACTTTAAACATAGTTGCCTGAATTTTAGTTTTTTTTTTAAAATGTCTTTTTTAAGAATCCTTTCTGGTTTACAGTACTTGTCTGCTTTGAGAACAGACATTGAAGGAAAGCTAATAAAGAAATCTGAAATCCTGAGTCTGAATTATACCCTGATACTGTTGCAAACCTTAGTGGGACTAATTATTTTTTTTCATTTCTGGTGAGATTTAAAGAAATGCCTTACCTGAAGAGAAAATATGTTTTTGAAATGTATATTTATTCATAGTTTTTGTATTTAAAGGTTTAATTCTTGTCAAATAAAGTGTAACCCCATGCTCTGGTAATTAGAGGAGTAGATGAGGAGTTTTACAGATTGTCATAATTCTTGTTAGATGCATTGCAATGCCATGATGGTGATTTTTATGCTTCTGGAGGAGAAGAATGTTTGATTCACTTTTTCATTCAGAAAGGTATAAAATTTGCAGCAATTGCATTGTGTAGCTTACAGATGTGTATGTGAGACAATGTCTTAATTAGTTACCACTGTTAAGCTTATTTCTTCTCTTTATGGTCTTCTGTTGGTTTTATCCCTCTTTCAAATTGCTTTGGGAGCATAAGGGACAGTAAGGATTGTTGCAGTTAGATGTGATCTCATTTAACCTAAATGAATATTTTTTTTTTTTACCAAGGTCAAAAGAGAGAAGATGGATTGGGTAATACATTGCCATATAAAATCGTGTTGCCAAAAAGAAGACTTCTATGTCTGTAGATCTTGTTTAGATCCCGTAGTGTTCCTCAAGTGATAAGCTAGAACAGTACACTGTACAGTACATCATCTCCAGTGAGGACTCCCTCCCATCTGGCAGTGATAAATTTAAATTGTACCTTCATAACCCTTTTAAGCTTCACACGTAATTTATCAAATTGAATTTTTTATATGTAAAAACTATATCATTGTTGCAAATGTTTCAAAGAAGTATATTTTGTCTTTCCAACATTAAATGTACTGTGAATTATTTCTGAGTCCCTAGCTACATGTTTAATAGTTCTCATCAAAAATTTCATCAAAGGAAGGTTTCATGCCATATTCTTCATAGAATCATAGAATTGTCTAGGTTGGAAGAGACCTTTAAGATCATATAGTCCAACCATCAATCTAACTCTGATAAGACACTATCACTAAGCCATGTCACTAAGCGCTATGTCAACCCATCTTTTAAATACCTCCAGGGATGGTGCTTCAACCACTTCCCTGGGCAGCCTGTTCCAGTGCTTAATAGCCCTTTTAGTGTAAAATTTTTTCCTAATATCTAATCTGAACCTTCTTGATCAGTCTTCTGGGAGCATAGATTTTCAGCTGCTATACCTCTGTGTACCTGGTTATATAAATAAAGATTTTGCAGAGGTGGATGCAGAACTTTTATTATATTTAGAACAACTTTCGTGGCAGATGCGCAGTGGATGTCTGGCTTTGAGTTTTCATTAGGCATTAATTGTATGGCTATAATGTGCTCAAAGCAAAGTTCACATTGCAGAGGTCTTTTCCATCCCACTGTTCATGAGCTTGCATACAGCACAATCGGTGGCAAGTGTTTTCATAGTGATAACTGTCTGGAATTAATTTTATGGCCATCAGTTATTGCACTTCTTTGGACAGACACATCAAATGAGAATTCCTATTGATCCTGAAAAACTGGGCATGCACAAGCTTTGGAAAAGTTCCCTTGATAATTGTGCCGCTGCTTGTGTAATTTTACAGCCATGAACTTTCTTTTGTTTGCAAGAACACTTGCAATACAGTATTTTGCATGCATCAAACCCAAAGGAGCATGCTGCTTCATTATTTTATTCTCGTCAGTACTCCAAGTATTTGAAAACATTGGGCAAGACTGAATACGTAGCAGATCAAAGGATTGTATGGGGTTTGGCAGTTTTTTATGAGATTTGCAAAGT